GGAGGAGCAGGCCCATGATTGGGGACAGCCGCAGTTGAGGTCTACTCCTGAGGCGAATGGGACGACGAGGGAGGAGGCTCGGGCGAGTTCTTGGGGGACGTTGGCGCCGAATTGGACGATGGTTGGTGGTTGGGGGCCGGCGGTGGAGATGGTGAAGTCGCTGTCGCGGGCGAATTTGTTGCGGTTGAATTCTTTGGCGAGGATCATGGGGGTCCAGCAGAGGTCGGTGCCGTAGTGGTGGACTGTTTGGCGGAAGGCGAGCTGGCAAAGGGGTTAGAATAGGGGTCGTTGTGGGATAGTGAGAGGAGGCTTGCCTTGCTGTACCGCACCATGGGGGCGGAGGTGTGTAATAGACGTTTCTCATTTTTGGCAACCTCGAAGAGTTTGAGGGGACTGGTTTATGTGAAGATGGTGGTGTAAGTGAGTGTATCTACCAGATGTGGATGGCTTACAAGCTATGAGCGAGGACAGGGGTGTAAGCGAGTAAGTGAGTGATGAGGGCCAGCTTACTGTATGAACTCTTGGTTCAGTGGGTTCGCCATTTTGAATAATTCAATTTGATTTAGTTTCAATAAGATCTCTAATGCTACGAGTTCATCTGATGGTGAGTGAGTCTTTCGTGAGCCTTGGTTTACCCCAACTCAGACTTACACAGTTGAAGCTCACCTAGGTGAGTCAAGGTCTACAAACTGGTAAGATGGTAGGATAATGGGCGCTATGCTAAGGTAGTGAGTGCACTGTTCTCCGATAACAGGTGTGCTCATTGACCCAGCTCACGGGAAACTCTGAATCTGTTCGTGAAAAAGTTGCAGGAGTTCAGTTGACAAACTCCAGATTTTCCCCGCGAATGTGGGGGATCAGAGACTGACAGCGGGCATTTTGAGTGCTCTGATTGGCCGAAAGTATTTTTTGCCCCTCGGTGACGAGGTTCACCCCGCCATATCAAGCATCAGGAATCAGTAATCGAGGACTTTACAAGGGCACGGTGACATCAAATTCGAGTCATTCAACCGAAGTATAAGGTTTAGCTAGTATGGATTCGGCTCCCCGTCCCAACGCCCTCAAGTCGATGGGCCATAGGCTGTCACTGACCAAACTAAGAAGAGCGTTGAGTGGCAGGAAAAAGAAGCTTCAGGAGATCCAGGAACCCGACGAACCCTACCAGACAACACCAACAACAACCAAACCAGAGGAGGGGCAAGAAGAAGAAGAAGAAGACGACGACGACGATATGAACGAAGGAAACACTGTCATCGGCCTGCTGGGTGGAGGGCAGTTGGGCCGCATGCTTTGTGAGGCCGCGAACCCCCTGGGAATCGACATTGCCATTTTGGACGAACACAATGCGCCGGCCAAGCAGGCGCACAACACCAACCGCCACGTTGTTGGCTCTTTCAAGGACCCCGGGTGCATCAAAGAGCTCGCTGCCCGCTCTGACTATCTCTCAGTTGAGATTGAGCACGTCGACACCGAGGTGCTCGAGGACATTGAGAAGAATGGCGTCCCCGTTGAGATCAACGGTGAGGTTGTTACTCACAGACCACCAATTCACCCATCATGGAGAACTCTCCGTCTCATCCAGGACAAGTATCTCCAAAAGGAGCACTTCAAGTCCAGCGGCAAGACGATCCCTATTGCTGAGCAAATAGCCATCGAGTCTGGCGATGCCGCCCTTGACTCGCTCAAAAAGGCTGGCAAGCAGTTTGGTTTCCCATTCATGCTCAAGGCTCGCAAGGGGAGTTATGATGGAAGAGGAAACTTCAAGGTCGACAGCGAGGATGATTTTGCGGAAGCGATCAAGGCTCTGGGAACACTGCCTCTTTATGCCGAGAAGTGGGCTCCCTTCGTCAAGGAGCTCGCTGTTATGGTCATCAGGACAGAGGACAGCGACGGCAAGCTCAAGAACTGTGTCGCCTACCCGGCAGTTGAGACCATTCACGAGGATAGCATTTGCACCAAGGTGTTCATGCCCCCAAGAGACGTCTCTGAGGATATCTGTGAGAAGGCGAGGAAACTTGCTACCGAGGTTATCAGCACATTGTGGGGGAGGGGTGTCTTTGCCGTAGAGATGTTCCTCCTCGAGGATGGTAAGCCATTGCACCATCAGTCTTGACGCAGCAAGCTAATACGATTTCAGCTTCTCTCATGATCAACGAGGTTGCTCCTCGCCCTCACAACTCTGGCCACTACACTATCGAGGCAGTCCCTTACATGTCCCAGTACAAGGCTCAGCTCCACGCTGTTCTTGATCTCCCGGTCCCGGACAAGCTCATCCCCAGAGTCCAGTCCTCCATCATGCTGAACATTCTCGGTGGAGCCAAGCCAGACTCTCACCACCACCTCTCCGGTCTGGCGCGGAGCACATACGACGACGACATGGACGTCTATCTCCACCTATACAACAAGGAGTCCAAGCCTAGTCGTAAGATCGGTCACATCACCCTCACCGGATTCTGCTCAGTCCAGGAGCTCGAGGCCAAGGCGAAGCCCTTTATCGATCTCGTCGACCAAATCAGACTTGACCGCCTCGAGGCCACCTCGGAAACTCTCCGTCCTACCCAGGAGACTAACGGCTCGGCCAAGCCTGCGGAAAAAGCCCCCGTAGAACCTGCTACCGATAACCACGTTGAGGCCCAAGAGCTGTCTGCTGAGGCAGCCTCCAGTGACAAGCCCCTGGTCCTGGTAACAATGGGCTCCGACTCTGACCTCCCCGTCCTCAAAGCTGGCTTGGACATCCTGAAGGAGTTCAACGTCCCCTATGCTCTGGATATCACCTCGGCCCACCGCACACCAAAGTACATGATGAAGGTGGCCGACGAGGCGGCTGGCAAGGGCATCAAGGTGATTATCGCTGCTGCCGGTGGAGCGGCTCACTTGCCGGGTATGATCTCTTCTGAGACGCCGCTGCCGGTGATTGGTGTGCCGGTCAAGGCTACGCACTTGGATGGGATTGATAGTTTGTTGAGTATTGTGCAGATGCCGGTATGTACCCTACCTTTTGAGTGATGATGGTGGTGGTGGCTGACAAAGAAACAGAGAGGCGTCCCTACTGCTACGGTGGGTATCAACAACTCGACTAATGCTGCGCTGTTGGCGATCAGGATCTTGGGGGCGTTTGTGCCAGAGTATCAGCAGGCTATGAAGAAATATCAGGTTGATATGGAGGAGGCGGTGATTGTGAAGGGGACTAAGTTGAGGGAGGGGGGGGATGCGGCTTATCTGGCGGGGATGAAGAAATAGATGCAACGGTGTACTT